GATATATGTTTTAGCACAATTTTGTTCATGTTTTTTAATACCTTTTAAAAATCTTTTAATAAAGAGGTAAGAGAACAAAGGACTTATTTTAAATGTGCATGCCTTACATCAGAGCTACTACAATAAAATACAAAATATATTTATATGCCATCTGTAATTAAAAGTTCTGGTTGTCATTACATTTTTTAATTGTCGTTTGTCAAGTATTCCCACCAAATTTGTAAGTTGTTTCCTTGAACAGAAAAGGTAGCTAGAAAAATAAAGTGTTTCATTTACCCAATTCATCTAATTAACTTCTACGTTCCACCACAAGTTTGAAGTGACAGTTTAAGCACATTTATAGTCCTTTATTTATCAGACGTATATTCATGAGCATAATGTAACTCTCAAATCAGAAACACTTTATTTCAGCTTTTTTAATTTTCCAAAAAATATGAGTCACAKTCTGCTTCATAACCAGCTACAATTCAGCATTTTTGCAAACATCTTTAGTTTAATTTCAACTTTTTAAAAACACAGATCCAATACAGATGGGGAAATTTTTTTTTTTGACAAAGGTCACGTTCACTGACAGGAAAGAGTCAGCAACTTTTTTTATTAAAAGGCACTTGGACACTGGACAGGAAACAGAAGAAGGCACCTCCTTTGTTCGCTCCAGCTGAGCCTACATCCTGACAGGTACCCTCTTGTTGACGACATGCTCCATGTCGGTGCGTTCGGACGTGTCCAGTTTGATGTCGTACTTGGCCAGAATCTTCATGATGGGCCTGATTTTCAGCCACCACTGTGTCTTTGGGATCCGGTGCCTGCAATAAAAACAGAACAGAGGGGCAGGGATTGGTCATATTTACAACTGCTGCTATAGTTTGCATGTAGTTGGTGAGCAGCTTACTCAAAGTCTGTGTCTGCCTTCAAGTCAACCAGAGGCAGGAAGGTGAGCGACCTCGTCTTCAGGCCCAGAACGCAGGCAGAGTCCGGCGTGTTTGCAAAGATACGACCTGAGAGACGAGCAAACACTTAACCTGTTGTGTAATTCTTATTTATTTTAACAGAACACGAGTCTGCAAAGTAGATCATGAGAGTACCAAGTAGTATACAGTGGATCAAAACTGGGTAGAAGTACATTAAAATTAGAGTAATGATGTGTCTACTGTTTGTCTTAAATTCTTATCAGCAAGAACATTACAACCACCAGCTGGTAATTATGTGAAAACTCACACTAGTGTTGCCAAAACCACAGACTCATTAAAACATGACACCTGTAGGTGAACTGTGGTATCTGGCCCCAAGATGGCAGCACATCCTTTTTTATCCTGGAACCGATAGAGATTATTTTTCCACCACGTCACAGATTCTTGACTTTATGAAAATTATTGTTGAAGCTTAAACATGGGTCTTTTTGGCATGTTCTGCAAACCAGTTGTTGAGTAATTTCTATAATTAAAGTTACCGTATTTATTCGTTATAATACCATCTCATGTATAATATAATATGACCCCCCCTTTTTTGAGTTTAAAAAGCCTAAAAAATTTAATCCTCAAACTACCTCCAATTTCATTCAGACTTCAAGATTTTTCAGCCTTTGCAGTCTTTATACATATCAGTCAAATGATCATTAGACTGTTCATTTTATTTTAATAACATATGTACTAAAAGGTATTTTGACAACAAATTTTATCAGCAAACTATGATTTTGAGCTTTGTAGCAGCATCATATGAACTCTGGCATTTTACACATGGTCCACCAGGATGCGCCAACACAAAAGTCAGAGACTTCACATGAGATTTGGGCCATCTTCTGGGGGAAAAGCAGATTACTTCCTACTCGCGAGCGCCCCCTCTGGTGGGAAACTTTTTTCAGGGAAACAAACTTTTTCAGAACACCGGTAGATGACCGCCATTATGGTGCGTTCACACCAAACGCGATTTCAGCGTCAGGAGCAGCAGGTTTACATGCAAAGTCTATGGTGGACGCGCTTCAAGCAACGTCGGGAAGTGCTGCGGCGCCTCAAGCGCGATT